AAAGACAGACAGGAAAGGCATTAAGAAGAGTGGATGAGTTGTCTGACCAGCTGTACTGAGCGTGCTCCATCACCATGTGGGCTGGGAATGTGAAGCGGGGAAGACTGGTAAGCGATATAACAGGCCTGTCAAATCAGCTGTGCTAATGCCTCGCTCTCTGAAAATTCACTCAGTAGCTCATTAATTTCTAACATATGTAGACATGGCCATAGGAGCGCTGTGATGAATGACCGGGGCAAGATGAAGATGCACACAGCACATGCTCCGGGTCAGCCTCGCTACTAGTTGTTTGGCTTTTCCAGTGTGGACTCTTAGCCAATATTAGTTATTCTTGAGGGAGCTGTTGGAGAGCAGAGTTTGTTTTTTTGTTTTTCTTTCGTAACTCTGTTTTGAAACTGTAAGCAAAAAAACTTGAAATTACTTTAAAGCAGTGACAGCAGGAAAGTTTAATTTGACAAGTAAAGAAAGCAGCTCATCATAAACCTGCACAATCAGCTGGTGATATCATTCAAAAAATGTTTACTTCAGCCAAACTAAATCTATAATTCAGCTCACGTATGTGTGTAATCTAATCCCAGAAACTCTAAGTGTGTTACATTTTCTCTTTCGTCTTCTTTTACTTTCATACTTTGAACTGTAAGTAAATTATAGACTGCATCTAAAAAAAAAAAGTATCCAGCATGATGATGTCACCCATTAGTTTCTAGACTTCTGCTTGAGCTGTGAGTTATGAGGTAAACAGATTAGCAAGGTGCATCTACTAGACCTAAATTAAATAACACATTCACACTCTTAGAAATTGAGCACAGAATGTTTGGATGGCCGCATTACTTTTAGATAATTGCATTAAAATGATGCAAAATCCAAAGGTCCAAAAAGGATCCAAAAGGCACCAACACTACAAACACAGTTATGAGGTTAAGAGGTACTCAGTGCATTGCAGTGCCAATGTATCAGTTAAAATATATGAACATGAAACAGCACTGATTGGGTGGCATTCTGATGCATGAATATTATTACTGTCCCTATTAATATGTTTGAAATATTTGATGTTAACATTGTCTTTCACCTTGTTTGTCTATTAATACTAGTCATGCTAGCTTCACATTTACCTCTGTTGCAGAGATGAGGGAACCACTAACCCCAGCGAATATCACTGTGTGTAATATGAAGCGCAGTGGGACATTTATTAACCCCATTTTCACATAAATGATTTTAAATGCTTGTCTCCAAATCTGACCAAATAGCAACATAGAAATTTGTGAACTAGCTGCCCATTGATGGCTTTATTTAAAGTGCTGTGTATGATTGTTTCTGAAGAAATTTGTTTGCGTTTCACTATTAAAAATTTCCAAATAAACTGATACATGCTGTGGCTGTAAATATATGTAATATATCATGTATCAAATACTTTTCTAGATATTTTACCACTGCAAATTGTGTTGTAAATACAAATAAATATAGCAAAACAACTGACAAGTAAAAAAAAAAAAAAAGAGTAAAGAAAAAGGAGTTGGTAGCTCATTTCATGAGAGTAGTCTTATATAGCCGATTTGTTGTGTCCACATGGTGTGATTGACACAATACGAGTAAGGATCAATCAAGAGATCGGCATGCTGCCTGGAACAAATGCTGCAAGAGAAGTAAACTATATGAAAATGCTACATTGTTGCGTTTTTAATGTCTGTTAGTATATTTTGACGTTAACCTTACAATCATGTAATAAAGTAGAGTATACGTTTTTTTATTGTAGTGCAATATACCTATATAATATTCAGAAATTGTCACTAGCTGTTTTTGGCAATATGATTCAATTTTATGGCGAGAAAGGCAAGTCAAAAGTTTAGACTTTTATCTTTAATAAATGTGAGATTTGTGCCTCAGATTTGTGTGATAAAGCATGAAAGCTGAAAAAATATATATCTTAAAATGTATTTCATGTATGAAGATAAAATTTAGTAGAAATCATTATTGGTCGATGGATGGATACCATAAAATTTTGAAGCAAATCAGAGATGGTCGAGCAGAAAGCCTTTGATGATTTGAGATGGAAAGAACCTAAAATAACAGTCTAATGACAACCTGACAGTATTATACTGGAAAGTCTTTATTTTATAAAACACCTTAATATTTTTCATAGAAACAAATTGGAGATCACAAGAGTTTAATTGCAAAATAACATTCTGATGTTTGGAGATCTGTCTGCTAGCATTGTATTGCTGTACTTTAACAGGGAACTTTCTCACATCTTGGGGATGATTATGTAACTCAGTTTCATTACAAAACACTGTCATATTCTTGAGACCAACCCTCCATCACCACAATAAACTCAAAAAACAGCCCTCATCTAACAGTCTACACAACTACTATCATATACATATAATGAATATGCATCATCTTCTATTTATATTATAAATAGAAGATGATAGACTAAAATTCTGGGTTGGAAAAAAAAGAATTGATGTATTCAGTCTATGTTAGTGAATTGAGCCCTACCTCACCGCTACAGTATTTAGGAAAACCTTGTGTAGTTTACTTCTGAGTTTCAATTTGTAACCTCCTATGGTTTCCTGCCAGTGTCCATTATCTGAGCTGTGAGCCACATGAGGGCAACTGCTGTGAATGTAGAGCATTTCAATTAGGAAGGATGAGATGCTCATCTCCTTCACAGTCCTGCTTTACAAAGGCTATTTATTATATAATCTGAAATGTTACTGATTCATGAGGAAAAGTCAGGAACTGTCTAATGACTTTGCTAATAATTCATACTGAGCTTTGCTTTCATGTTAGGCATTATTTGGGGACTAGATGTAATACTTCTAAATTGGTTTCCCAGTGATATGTCATAGCTGGAAGGCTCTTCGACCAGAAACAAACAGCCAACCCAGATGGCTGCGTTTATGTGCAGTTTTTGTTTGGGATATTTTGGCAAACTAGCACATGAATGAAAGGCTGTAGAGCAGTTGTCATAGACACAGGGATTGGCTTTCCGACTAGCACATGATCAGCTTAATAAATCAAATTAATCTGATCTCTGAAATCTGATGAATCTAATGATTCAGTGTCTCTAAAGTAAGATAAACTGGATAATCTATGAGCACCGTCCTGAAATATCACCCTAAAATAGGCTGAGACATAACCTCCTTCTAGCTTCATTAGGGGAGTTAATAAAAAATTTCATGTGCCTTTTGGCGAAGGGATTGTTATTAAAGTGTTGTACCACAGCTTGAATAAAAATACACCAATCACGGGTGACCCCAGTGGAGCAGTAACAGGTGATACCCAGGGATGGTAGAAATAAATTACACTGCCTCATTTATTCCCCATGTGCTTTTGGCTTACGGAGTCCTTTTAACAGTATGTCACATGTGATGTGAAACTGCAGTTGGAGGCATGTTGGATCCAGGCCTGACATCTGTCTTGACTGTAGAACTGACATTTTTACTGTGTTGTGGTCAGGTTTGCATTCTTTTTCAGTTCAAATGGCACCTCTGGTGAATTCAGTTCTTCTACTACATGTGACGTAAAACTTTGTGTTCGAGTAGTGTATAGTCAACAGCAAATGAGTGTGTTATGCATGCCCTATATCACACTGATATTTGCTTTTACACAAAGTGCCCTGGTCTAGGATGGTGACATACAAAATGATGGGATAATTTAGTTTTGCAACCATTTTTTTGAACACATTTTCATCCCTGGAGTTGCAGAGACATGCGAAAGGTGTCCTCTGGCATTAGTGTGGCCATGTTAGGAGTGGTGTTGGGGTTCAAAGCCTTTCAACCAGGAGACCACAGTTTCTGTCCTGTTTTAAATCTTTGAGTTTTGCAATTTATTTATTTTTTCAGTCGCTAATTCATTTTCTTCACATGTGCTTTTTTACTATTGCTTTCACCCTCTGCTTGGTGAAAAACAGGAAATCATTATCAGCATTTATAATAGCCAGTTGATGAGAAATGTAAAAGAACAATGGAGATGGAAGAAACACTCTTTAAGTGAATTATTAATGGTTATGTTGCATAGTCTGTCCACCAGACGGCACTTTGCAAAGTCCATGTGGAAAGCAGTAAAGTCGGGTAGTAGTCTAACATTACAACCGACAACACAGCAAGTGCGAACCATTGCTGATGCTATCCGTGTGCTTTCGCTCCTTTAGCCCTTTGTTTGGCCTGCTAAAATGGCGCCTCGGCAACCACACCCCCTCCCGTGACATCACGCTCCAAAGCCCTATAAATGAGTAATCACCGACATGCTGCGACAGCAAAACAATATTTTTAGATAGCATTGTCATATTCTCTTAGGAAGGATTGGGGAAATCTGTTTATGTTTTGTGTGTCTAAAAAGAAGATATATTGGATTTTCAAATATCTGTATCAGTAATGATTTTAAATTTTTTCAGTTAGACTTAATTTGACAGACTGGGAGTGAGAAACCTGCCTGGGTATTCTTATAACATGCCCCAATGCTGAAGGACACCCTGTGTTTATCTGTGGTGCAAGTGGAACTTGGTGTTTCACAGATATGCATGGATGGATCTGCCACCATGGGAATGGAAATAGGTTGGTCATTCAGATTTCTGGAAAGGGCTTAGCAGAAAGTAGCGAGAGCTTTGTGGATACATGTGGATTCTCTCTGGTCAATTTTAAAAACATGACAATTCTGGAAAATGCATTGAGAGGCTAAGAAAATGTTACATTAATGTGTGATTTATTTATTTTTTTGTTCCTGTGAAACCTGTTCTCCTATTGTTCTGATGGGGAATGAATCCCCATGTAACTCCTACCTGCTGTCCTGACCTGTCCTGTCTTGTCCTTCATGCCCTTGGCTGCCATGGCCTACTTGAGACAGTCACACAGAGAGCTGTCATGCAGATGTCCTCCTGAAAGACAGAGGGCGCTGTCCGCTCCACCCGCCAGTCTCTGTGTGCCTCTGTGCCCCGCTCAACCCGGCTTTGGCTCTGTTAAACCTCTTCTCTTCTCCCCTCCTCTCTCTCGCGGCACCAGGCGCGGCTCCCCTCCTGTTCATCCACCCTAAGCATTGCTGAGGTACTCCTGCATGTGTTCTAAAGCATCGTTACGGTCATCATGGTGGCATCAGTTCCTACTCCTTCCCTCTCCAACAGCACCTCTAATTTCCTGCCTGGCATGACTGCTTCCTGCCTAAACCTCCTTTCCTTTCCCTTGTGTGTATGCTGACTTGCCTGCTACACTCCTGCTGTCTCTCTGTGTTTTTTGACACACAACCCACAATCCTTTGTTTTTCTCCCTGTGTTTTTGTGCGTATTTGAGTCTTGTAGTGAAATGTTGTCTGATTCTCATACACATACTGTATCTAACCCTTTGCCTGGTTTCCATGCACACACAGCCTCCAGAATAAACAAACGTCCATCACTTGGCATATTACTCAAATGCGTTTCAACCTCACAAGTGAAGTTGAAAGTTGCTTGAATTATGTATTTGAATGAAAGTGATACTGGTTGCACAAGCAAAGTATGTTTCTCTCCCTCTGTGTATACACTTCAGTTCTTTTTAAAGCGCCTCGCTGACACACATTCATCAGCTCGTAAAAGAGAAAAGGCCCGGTAAATATAAGCTTTGCAGCTTTGCTGTGCTTGGCACACTGGTCATGGCCCCAAGTGACTCTGATCAGTGAGTGATAAAGACATGACCTCTGTGCAGGGGGTCAAATGGTGCTGGCGCTGTCCACTGTGATTTTGAAGCCCATTGATTAACTGTAATTGCACAGTAATGAAACTACAGATTTTGAATACGTGTTTAAAAATAAATTATCTAGCGAGCTAATGCGCATTTCAATTTCTTTTTCAGCACTAATGCATTAGAGGTAACTTTTTATCTTTAGTTTTATTTTGAAATGCAAAATCGGACATTAACTCAAAAGTAATTGTTGCCTATTTAGTGTGCTATGTATGCCATTAGTCTTAATCTTGCTTTAGACCTAGGCTGATCTTGTCATGTACTGGAATGGGATGCAAATAAGTAACAAGGTACTGCAGTACAGAAATGCCCAATGTGCAGTATATTTGAGGTAATTTAGAAATGTTTCCAATGCTCCCAGCACAGGCCTACTCAGGTACTTTCCCTATCATTTAAAGTTGTATTTATATGTAATTTCATATTTTTGGTGGCCATCTTAATCTCAGCTTAAAAAATAAGATATATATGTCTTTTTATTTTATTGATTTTAATAGAACTTATGGTCTCAGGGTATAAAATTTAAATAATTACGCACTTAGAGGCATGTTTTCTAATATTTATTTGTAACTAAATGAGTTAAGGAATAAAAATAACTAATTAAATTAATAAAGCTTAAGCTTAAACAAAGACACCGAGCGAGGCGTTGAGTAGGGCCAAGGGTCAAGCACTCACTTGGGTTCACTTCTTTACATTCACGTTAGTTCAAAAATGTATTTATGCTAGCAGGGCTCACCTGGAACTGTTGTCAGATCCACTGAACTGATTTTGTTTCTCATCCGTCATTCCTTATGTTGTGTTTTTTGGCAGTTTTCCAGTGACTTGTTTGCCACTTTTTTTTTATTTATTTAAATTGGTCTGACTGCCGAATGTATGTCATTCAATGGCTTATTTCTGGTGTGTGTGTGCGTGTGTGTGTGTGTGTGTGTGCGTATTTGTTGCATTAGTATGCTAAATTAGCAGACTGTGTGTGCAGCTGTGTTTAAAACACTACTAACTGATGTGTTGTAACAGTCTGAGTGGGAGTGTATGCCTGTCGTCTGTATGTGTGTGTGTGTGTGTGTATACGCATGCGTGTGTATGTTATGAAGGTGAGTGACTATCCTGTGGCTTCCCCCAGGCCTCACGGAGAGAATTCAGGGCTCACCTGGATGAGGTCATCACGCTCAAGTCAAGGTACTCTACCTTGGACCAGGTAAACCCGCTAACCTTCTAGCAACTTCTCTACCGGCATGCAGGCCACTGGCATCCCACTGAGCACCTAACCACACTAGTGACATGCACAAGCATTCACGTACACAGACAGGGAGGCTGATGGAGGGACAGAGAGGCGCACGCTGTATTTTAGATTGCACTGGGCTTCACTTTGCTATAGCATGTACCTGCAGCACTGGAGCAGGTGAGAACTTGGCACTACTTTAGTAATAGACAGTATCTAACTGCTTATGTTAAGTTGAGAGACGGAGAAATGAAACATATCTAAATGCAAGAGATAACTGCAGGGTGAGACTGTTCCCGCCATCTCAATTGGTCAGCCTAAAACTTAACAAACAAACTTTTAAGTGTTTAAGTCTGCCGGTTTGCTCCAAACTGAATTGCATATAAAGTAGATTACTTGCAAATTACTTGCAAATAAGTAGAAAGCTTAATATTACCAGCTGCAAATGCAAAGGCCAGTCTATATTCTCTGCATGACCTGTGTGGACACAAATCAAATCATGTATAGCAGGTGTAAAAGGGATCTTGTTTAATGAACACAAACACACATAGGATGCGTCCACATGTTGCATATTTCTACAGCAGAGGTGTCTGTTGCCTGAGCCATGCAGAGCTAGGTTCAGATTTAGAAGTACAGTGGTGATGCACATGGGCAAAAAGACAAAATGAAGTGTTTTCAAAAGTCAGATGTATTTGGACACTGATTTCCATCTGATTTTAGTCTATAAGTTGTCCTGTGTACCACCATCTTCAATAGTTTGCAACATTTCTTCTCCATGCCTCAATCTCAAGAACTCCACCAGCACTCATTCTCTTCCATTCATCCCCCCATCTGGTCATTTGTCAGGTTTGATGTGTGTGTCAGTGCCTGGTTTCTGCACAGGACGCAACATATTCGTGTGTTTGTGCCTGATATGGATATGCCAGTGTGCTGCTGGATTCACAGAGGGATGACTGAACAGTAACTGACCTCCCCACGGGAAGCCATGAGTGCACTCTCCAGGAGGTTGAAGTCATCGCTCTGGATTGCCACAGTAGCATTTCCCCCTGCCCTCTACTACTCTGTCTCTATCATCCTGGCATTTTGTCCTCTGCTCCATCCCTCTCTCACTCCGTCACAAGGGGTGAGGCGGTTGAAGCCAGTTTACAGCAAGCCTCCATGCCCTGTCACAGCCTTCTCCTCCTTGCAGAGGATGTATTAATCTTCCCCTTTTTGCATAATTTGTCTGACAGCTCCTTTGTTTTTGTGCTGAGCTCAGCACCGCGGCAGTTGCATCCCATCATTTCCTGGAACATCTCCTTAGCCGGCTAGTTATTGGCCCCATCGATTTTTCCCCGGGCGGCTCACAGATGCTGGGCCACGTGTCTGGCTGACCTGGCCGTGCTCGCTATTCTGTGTCCGTACACAGAACCGTCACCTGCTCCCCAGCCCATTGATCTTCCGGGCAGATCTCCATGACAACCCGTTGTCAGGCTGTTTCCACGGTGACGGCAAGGTTGCCGTTTAGAGCGCTTAGTGTTTCTGGCACGAAAGCCGGTGGTTTTTCCATTTGCGTGTGTGTCTGCATTCCCTGCAGCATGCCTAATGCTTCGTTGCAAACACTCACACATGAATGTGAAAACTGCCTGCTTTTATTTCCTTTATTTTTGCTTATCCAGGGAGTTTTGAAACTGTTGTTCTTGCGTGTATGATGTGTGCCTGTTAAAATTTGCATCCCTCATACAAGCCCATTCTCTTCTCTCACTTGGTCGGTCTCTCACCAGTAACAGGGGATTGCAGCGAAGGGTAGATTAGAAATGAGTGCGAGAATGTTTGACAGTCTGCTTTTATGCCTTTCCTCTAAACGTCCAAAACATCCCAGTCTGCCTTTGTACTCATTCTCCATGTATCCTCCTCGCCTCTAACACATCCCCCTGTAGCTTTTTTCCCGTGTTCATCTCCATATGCAAACTGTCTTTCCCCATGGCTCTCTGATGGTATGATGTTTTCTTCTGAGCTATTTTTTTGCCATACTGAGGTTTTGTTTTCAACCTGTGTCAGCATTAGTGTCATCACTCCACATTGCATTGAGGTTTTTCCGCTATGTGCTAGCTAATGGTGACCGTATATTGCTGCAAGACAGACTAATGATCCATTACTATAGGACAGAGTGTGAAATTGGGTTGGGTAGAAGAAGAAAACCTGATCTTTGTGGTTTATCTGTGTGTTTAAGGAGACCAGTTAGGCAGTAAGATTTTGATGTAATTGTTATGCTTTTTTAAATTTTATTTTATTTTAGATGTCCTAGTCCTAGTGTTCTTGGAATGGCACACCTTGTACAAAAAATGCCCTAGCTGTCAGTCGCTAGTTTTCATATGTGCTTTTCAATGTCTGCAAGTTTGATCTGTGCCTTGCTGTAGCTGTAATTAGCCCCCTTAATCCCCACCTTTGTCCTTTTTTTGTTTTTTCATGCCTGCCTCTCTCTGTTTCTTTCTGTTTCTATCCCTGTCTCTATCACTCTCTCGCTTGCTCTCTCTCTTTTATATATAGTGTTATATAAAATAAATATAAGGGCTTTTGAGCTTCAGCACAAATTTGCTAGCATGAGCTGTTGCCATCATGGCATCCGCTGAAAAAAGCTTGTACCAACTAAGAGAAAGTGGTAAAATTGTAAATATGATGAGGCATTTTAAATCCAGAAATTAGACTCTTAAGCACTAATGGCAGTATTGAAAGGGTTAGCAACTCAGCAAACTCAATTACAGTTGTTGTGTTACTGCTAGTCCTCAAAATATTAGGTAGTCCATCTGTGTGGTGACCTATCTGCTGCCAGCCTAAACTAAAACTTCGTTAGCATTTGCATCTGCTGAAAATTGTTTATGAATGTCATTATGGGTATACAGCTTACCAACATGGCAGTATGGGGGTTAAAAAGCTGAAGGGGAAACTGGTGTTTTATTCACAAGTTCTGTCCGCCTAAACTGTGCCGTTGTAGGGTTATAATCTAAGGCTACGTCCACACATGTTCAGGTTTTTTTTAAGAAAGGGTTTTTTCTACATTAAATAAAATATGTCAGTCGACCTCAAAGCAATAGCCTTATTATAGCAATTTATTATACAGTTGTATTTGCTAATTTGTTTTTATTTTTGTTTCATTTTGACTTTTTTTGTCTTCTTTTTTCAGTTTAGTTTCCCTTAGTCTACAGAGTGAATTTTCTTTTCAGTTATTTTGTTTGAAAATGTTTAGTTTTAGTTTAGTTTTTTATTAGTTTCGGTGTTAGTTTTAGTCAGTTTAATTATTATTGTATGGAGGGCACATGTCAGAGGGAAAATTGATGACAATTAGTATGTGTATTACTACAGAAACACATAACTTTTGTAAAGCAGTTGATCCATAGTGTGTCATAGAATTGTAGACCCATTATACATGTATTTTAAGACTCATCAGGCAAGTTGTAATAAAATATTTTACCAGTCTAATAAACACTACAACTAAGTATATCTCTACTACATTTTTAGTTAAAAAATTAACTAAAGTTTTTTTGTTTAAACTCAATTTTCTTTCATTTAGTTGAATTTGTTTTTCAAAAGTTAGTTAACTAAAATGTTTTTTCTCATCTAATTTTCGCTTTTGTTTTAGTGTTAGTTAATTGTGATAACCTTGGTGGACATGGCTTCAATGGCTACATTAAATTTGCTGGACACAAAGTAGGAACACATGAGGGCTACTTATCCAAGAAATTCCCACGGCGGCATGCAGGAACTGTTGACATCGGGACTGAGACTAGATTGAAAGGCAGAACTGGCTCTGCTCCAGCACTGCATCAGAGGTTTACGATACAGTGTAGTAAGTCAAGCTGTCCCAGTGAAAAAGAAAAAAATCTGCTCTGTTATCATTTTTTGTAACTGAACATTTTTAAAGCATTGCTATTATAACTTCTGATCATTATAGAGTGCATCCATTATTTCCGGATCAGCAAAATCACAACATGAACCTCAGCTAAAGTCTTCAGGAAGCCAAAAAGCCACTAGGTGTTCATTCTTTATGGCCCTGCTTTATGCCACCTTTCTCTTTAGCTCTTTTTCCTTCTTTCTCTCCTTTCTGCTCCTCTCCCCCCCAGCTCCTGCTAGGGTTGCTTGTTGTAGTGGATGCCTGTCTGTCCGTTTGTCCGTCCGTCCGTCTGTGTGTCTTGTCTGTCTGTCTGTGGTGTTCTGGTTGCTGGGACAGATGCACTGATGCCTGTGATTCGATGCTTTATCTCCACTAGCTCCAGTGTAGGTTGGAGGGGCTTAAAGATGATCGCAGGAGGACCTTCAGCTCTCGAGTAACTATCCCGCCCCCGCCCCCTCTCCTCTTTCCCCTCTTCCCCTTCTCCCCCCCCCCCACCCTCCTCCGAGGAGCGCGCAAAACAAATGCCCTGCTCTTTGTACCTCCCCACCCCACCCCACCCCCTACTCGCTTGCCTAGCTATCTCTCTAGCTCTCACTCCCTCTCTTTCTCTCTCTGTTGCCACTGGTCTGTTTCTTGTACTCAATCTGTCGCTCACTCTACATCACTCTTTGTCTAGCTGTTTTCTCTGTCCGGTCTGTTAGGGTTCCTCTTTTCTCAGTCTCCCACGCACACTTCCCTGTCTCTTATTGTTCGCTTTCTCTCTTTGTTTCTCTCACTCTTCTTCCATCTGCTCATCTTTCTCTGTTTCTGTCTCTCCGGTTAACATGCTCTGCTTTCAGTAGCTATGTCTGGTGTGCTGGATGTCTGTTAAGTAGATGCCATCAGGCCGCTCTAATGGTCTTTATTGTTTTCGTTCTTTTCTTCCTCTTTTCCCTCTTTTCTGCTATGTCTCGGCTCTGTAGTTTAGTGAAGTCTGTCTAGTCTGTGCTTCCTGTTTTTGTTTGTTTCTTTCTGGGCTGTGGGACCACGTCACGCTGATCCTCATCCTTCCACCCCCACCCTCCCTGTCTATCTGTCTACCTGTCTCCTCTATCTCTCTGCCTGTCCATCCCTCCTTCTCCACCATCCCATCCACCTTTGCCTCACCTCCCATTTACCACCTTCTCACCTTGGCTGTTTGGTGCCCAGTGGTGTCACAGTATTAGGCATTGAGGGAGGGGAGGAGAAAGAGAGGGGTGGGTGGGTGAGTAGAGAGACTTTCACCTTCACCGTGGGTGTTTTGGTTCTCCATACACAGCACACTGCCCACACCCAACTTTTATGATAACCACGGGTCATAGAAGTTGCTGAGTTTCAGAGGACTTTCAGAGCCCAGAGGGATTGAAAGACATGTTAGCGCAGACAGATAATGACTGCCAGAGTACAATCAGCTATGTCAGTTGACAAATCTGAATATTAAGGTTGGAAGACAGCCAGACTAACGAGCAGGCGAGAAGACAAAGGGAGAGCCAAAACCAAAGAAGTGGACAACATTGGCACAAATCCCATACTTTCACTCCAGTGTATCCAACCGGACCTCTATTTGTGTATGTGTCTAAAGAATAATTACTTTCTGATTATGTGCCAAACTAGCTTAACAAAGTGCCTCCTGTGATTCTTCTTCCCTTATTTATCGTTCCCTAAGGCTGAGTTTCCCAAAAGCATGCTTATTACTGCAAGCCAGCATCTTCCTTTTTAAAGGTGCGCTACAACATTTTAACATAAAAGCATCAAAGCGTTTCTTGATTTCCAGAAATACAGCTAAAAGAGACAGGAGGCTAGAGCAGTAGCATGTCCATGGATCGGTGCTGCTTGGCATCACATCTCTTTTCTTTCACTAGCAGCTAGTCTTGGACTGAATTACTAAATGTAAAGCAGAATAAAGGTGCTTAAAATTGGGAACAAAACTTTGTTCCAGACACACACTACATTCCTTTTGGCATGTAATGTGTTTACAGTTGAGAAGTTTCATTGTTTTAACTCAAAATGTCAGCAAACATGACAATTTTCTAAAACGTTACTGTCTTGCACAAAAGAAGGCAGGAAGTATTGACAATTGACCGTCTTCTACCATTTTCTACCACTTCTCCTGATCCAGGTGGCAGGGGGCAACAGTCTAGACAGAGATGCCCAAACTTCCCTCTCCTGGTCACTGTCTCCATCCTCCATCAGCTCTTCCTGGAGGTCGCCAAAGCTTTCTCAAACCCTTTAGGAGACATTTTTACTGACGATTGGAAGTAAAACTTGAGAATTGTCCTAAAATTGTATTTGAGAAACAGAAAGCATTTTTTGTTTTATTTTGGGTTCAGTACTGATGTTGCCATCCAAATAATTTCCAACAGGTTGATTTCCTATAGCACAAAAACAATAACCAACCATAGACTGTAAATAAAAGATCTTTGAAATGAACAGATAATAGAAATAATGGGGCAGCTCCTGTAGTTGGAAAGAAAAGTCTGATTATCCTGAAGTCCACTGGACAATTACAGAGTTTACAGACTTTCACGTTACATTATTATTAAATACATCTTCTTTTTATCTTTTATATAAAGTCTGTATAACAAACTTTGATTGAAACGGTAATTTAAATTTCTCACCCATACTGTGCGCATTTACTATGTTGTATAGCACAGGGGCACAGCAATAGCCTTTTTTAACAACTCCAAAAATCCAGAGTGGCCACTCAAGCAGGAAGACAGAAGTCAATGGGAAATGTAAATGCAATTATTGCTCATTTTGGCAACACTGATTATACATAAGGAAGTTAAGAGTTTTATAGGAAAATTACAATCTCCACGTCCCTTCTCTCAACCATGGACAGCACCTGAGCTCCAGCCTCAGGTTGTTTTTGGGAAACTCAGCCCAGTTTTAACCCGCTCTGCTCTCCTCCCCACCTTGCCTTAGATCACGGGTAGCGCTCAAACGCAGCATCAGCAATTTCCAGAGAAATCTGAACCCTCTTGCGCCACATCTGAACAGCCACTATCGTAACTCAGCACTACATTTCCACTACATTTGGTGTTACACTGTAGCACAGTTAAAACATCTTGTGATACAATATTGTCACTCTGTATGTTGCTGCCTTTGTCCGTATATTCTTTAAAGTGCTTTAATTATAGTGTGACATGTCAGTGCATTTATCAGTGTGACAACCACCTGTGATATGATGATGTAGTTTACCGTAAGTGATCATAATGGTCACGGGGGAGATGTAACCATCTCCCAGCAGCAGGACAAAGTGCACAGTGTAGTGTGACGCAAGCTCTTGCCAGTGCTTCTGACTGTTGTATAAACAGCTTGTCATTTCAAGCATGTGAAAAGAGCAGCTTGGTTTATCTCAAATTACCACCACCTCTGCTCTCTCTCTCTTTCCTTTTCTCTTTCCTTTTGCCCTTTCTTGTCTTTCGTTCCCAATCACCCTCTCCATCCCCAGGTGCAGTCACGATGCAGCAGCAAAGAAAATATCCTAAGATCAAGTAAGCACCAACTTTCACGTTTCACATCTGCACGTCACAGAGTGTGCCCTCTAACACTCAGATAGATTTTAAGTGTGTGTGTGTGGCTTCTGTGTTGCATTTGCATGTCCCTGTGTGTTTGTGATGTTTTGCCAGAGGTTGTTAAGCCTCATGTTAAGCATCAGAATATGCTGTGGAAGCGTAAGTGTATGTTTAAAGGAGAGAAATTGGGTCAAGGGAAATCAAAGCACGGCGTCTATTCTTCGCTGTGAGGCAGAGGGAGAGCGAGGCAGAGAGAGATAAAGAGAGAAAGAAAGAGAGAGCAGATTACACATTAGTTACACCTTGCTTTGTTCCTTTTACCTTTGGAATTATTAGAGAGGTATTATTAGACCAACATGGCTGCTATCGAGCACCTCTGTCATCCAGCTGCGTTTCACAGGAACAAACAAACAGGACTGTTTTTTGCCAGTCCCTCCTCATGGCATTCAAATAGCACATATATGCCTACATGCAGCAAAAATAAGTCGTCTTAATCCAGTTTTCTTACCATGGTGTGAAGACATATTAGATGATATATCCTTTTTTTTTTATAATGATAATTTGTGCATTTTAACTGTATGTCATGTAGACTCTGGACTTAACAGCTGCAAACCCAGAGTGCGAGGTTCGGTTTGAGATTTTAACATTTTTTGTCTCAGGAGACAGTTGAGTTGTTCAGTTCCCTGCTTTTAGAGCCACGTAGATGCCTGCTGCCTTGGGAGTGAATCCCAGTAGAGTTCTCACTCTTCTCCTTCCTTATCTTCCAGTCTTCCTCTTTCAAAGTGTCTAAATAAAAATAAATACTTTTTCTCTTCGTTTTTTTTTTTTAATTGTTCAAATTTAACATGGAGAATTAAACCTGATTTTGTGGATTTTATGACTACATCTGTATGTTTCACATCGTCTCAGGTCACAGTGCTGTGGACATCACAAAGGTGGCCCGGAGGCACCGTATGTCCCCCTTCCCCCTAACCTCCATGGACAAGGCCTTCATCACTGTGCTAGAGATGACTGCAGTCCTGGGCACTGAGATCATCAACTACAGAGGTGAGGAGGAGAGATAGGTGGTTACCCTTTAAAGCCTGTAGCCATGCTGCTACAGAAAAGCTCCTAGTTTGTAAGTCTTTCCTTTTTTTGCATCTCCAGCTCATATAGATGCTGGGATGTTGTGGTGGTACTCCTTCCTGATTGCTAAGTACACATGACAGCATTTAAACACCACCTGTTCACAACCAGACACCTCACTTAATCAGCAGTTCCTGTACGCAGGCCATGGTGTCAGTCACACAGACTCAGATTGTCTTTGCTACAAGGTCAAATGCATAACAAACAAATGACTTGTATGTGTTGTTTGACTTCCCACAGCTTGTGAGACACTTTATACAGACAATGGATCCAATTTTTTGCTCACCTGATGCATTTGTTTGTTTATTCATTTATTAACATGTACCAGGTGGGAGTTTCGTTTAGAGCTTCTTTTATTTCTCTGTAACCGACAGTGACATGCACGTGATTGTAGCTTTATTCCTTAGCCATAAGAGCGCTACTGTGTTTCTATCAGAGTACATTTCAGCTAAACAGAACTGAATTCTACAAAAGCAAAAATTATCAGAATTGTGGCCCCAATATTATGTCAAAAGAAGAGTGAAACTAATGTTTTTGTTACTTGAGGCATTTGAAATTGAGATCACAACACATCAAGAGACAAATTGAGGCTGAAGCTTTTGCTTCATGGCTATATGGGTCTATATATAACTTTTGTGTAGCAAATAGCTAAAGCCAGTAATTTTCAAAGTTGATAGTATGCCAGGATTATTTACAGCTCATTTCCGCTGCCCCCAAGTGGTCAAAATAGTAACAATTTTTAATGCAGTTGCAAAACTAATTCCTGTTTATATAATTCTGTGTCTGTCATGACATTTGTATGTACACATTAGTGCTTGTGTGTTCATGTCGCTGTATGAGTTAACTGTAGCAGTATTTTTGCATTGTGTGCTTACAAGTCTAATCAGACATCCAGATTCTAAGGTATAAACTTGCAAGACAAGTAGGTTTAGCACCTGAGGGTCTTGTCATCCTTCTGGCAGAGTGGCTTAAGTGCCAGCGGAGGATGACACAGAGTCAAGCTGAGGGCTGGAGGGTCTTTAATTCATCTGTAGAAACCGTAGCAAAGACTGGCGGCAATAATGGCCTGCAGCGCACATGACTTCTAGATCAATGATGGTAGCAGGAGCGCTTTCGTTTTCCAGGTGTAAAGTGATGTTTCATGTTATGGAAGAGGGGACTGGATTGCAGGATTTGCAAGAGCACAGCTGGGAGGCGGACAGTTGGGTAAGGAAGAGAGAATGGGGGGATTTGAGAGATGAAATATTTAGACAGTCAACAGCTGGAGCAGCTCCCCTGCTGGATTTAGAACAGTGTGTGCGTGTTTGCTAATGGATGTGTATTCTGCATTTTTTGCATATAGTGAGTATTGAATTAGAGGTATCTGGCGCTGATTTTATTGTTAGAATTGGTTACTACATATTTCTACGTAAGTTATTACTGGAGGAATAGTATAAATTAATACTAGATCCCTGTTTATCTTTCTTATTGTATTGTAGAGACATTTGCTGTGATTCAGTACTTAAATATGAAGTTCTTGACAGTTTAATATTTAATTCTAAACAGTCTAAAGCACTTTAAAGGAATAGTTTGAAATGCTTACTCTCTTTCACGCCCGGAATTAGACAGAAATATTTATCTGCATGTGAATTATGAAGCCCTAACTATCTGGAGGTTGCACTTTTCTGCTGCAACAAGACATCACCTCTGTTCTATTATTAGTCACAGCTCAGCGTCAGCACATGGTTTTAACAAGCTTTTCAGTTCCAGCTTGCGTGTATAAATACACCAATTTAAATACTGTTAATATAGAGAAAAGATGGGAGGATTTGGACACGAGCATGTGTGCCTTTATCCATGATGGAGATGCATTATGTACAGCAGCTCAGTATTCCTGTCATCTGCATGTGTGTGGGTGTCTGTATGCACATGCATATTTTTTCCCCTTAAACTCGTTGATATCAAAGCTTAGATCTTCATATTAACACCCACATAATCACAGCATGAAGGCTCAGCTATATATAGGCACACAGCAGCTTAAGGTATTTTGGATTTTTTTTTTCTCCCTCCACCCACTCTCCCTTCTGACTTCTATGTCTTTCTTTCCTTCCTTTACTTTCTCTGAGCCATTGTCTCAGTGAAGAGGCTCTGTTTTTCCTCCCTGACATTTTTTAAGTTGTCTGGCTGTTGGGAATGCTAAAGAAATGTGCACATGAACATTTGCAAGCCCCCACTTGCGGTGTGCAAATCGGTAAACTGAAGTAAAATAGCGCAGTGTGCAAGTACATGTCTGTGTGTGCAGGTCAGGTGGTGAGTCATGCAGAGAGATGCTGATGCGTGGTGTCACACTAAGGCTCTCTTTAAAACATGCACACACACACACACACACACACACACATATACACACCTCCAGCTCAAACATTTCTCTGTATCTTCATCAGATGCACTGTTTCACCCTCTATGCCTCTGTCTCTCTTTCTCTCTCTAACTTTTGCTCTCTCCTTCCACCGATCTTCAACCAGCCTCTCCACTCCACACTCATGTTCTTCCTCTTCTTCTACAGATGGGATGGGTCGAGTCCTGGCTCAGGACGTTTACGCCAAAGACAACCTGCCACCCTTCCCTGCTTCTGTCAAGGACGGTTATGCTGTGAGAGGTAGGTATATCAATTACGGCAGGTGATGCAAATTGAATAATATCCTCTCATTCTTGTCTTTGCCACATTTTGTTGCCCATCCATCTGACATCCTTTCAGTATTTAGTACTTTGGATCTTAGCCTCAGTTTATCAAAAATGTACATAAGTGTAAATGTTGCAAAGATTATACTGTTATTTATGATATGTAGCCCTTGTTGTGTTCAAATGACACATCTTACCTAAAAATCAAACACATTTATGTTTATTTTTAGTTGTTTACGGGTCCTTTTTTACCTCTTGTTATTACCATGAGGGCAATGAGACAGTAGGCCTGCTTAACCAGATGTTCGTAAGTGCAAACTTTGCATGGTTATATGTAATTATTAAATGGAAACCATTTATAAAATTACATTTTATAAAGTCACAAGAAAACATAAACACTAACTGAAACAATACCGTTACAAACCTTACCTAAAAGAAAATCCTAAATATTCAGGAAATGTCTGTAGTTTTTTTTTTATTATTAAATTTATATACACGTTCGTGCCTCATTATAATTTTTATTATATATAAAAAATATCAAAAATTATTGAAAATTACTACTAATTACTGACTAACTGAAACTACATGGAAATAAAATATTCATTT